CTTAAGAAGACAATTTCCAATTTTTTTTTTTAAATATGAGAAAAGCTGGCCTATTGCGTCTTATATATCTGTAATAAAATGTGACGTCGAGAAAGCAGTGAGTTCTGCAATATATAATTACAGTTATGTAAGGGACTTTACATGATACATTAAATTTTTATGTTGAAGTTCTTTCCGCAGAATTTACTGGGGAGAATACTGAAGAACTGTGGTGTATTTCTGGTTGCAGGTTAAAGGAAAGGATCCGGATCGTATTTGAAGAAGTGACCTTACAGAAAGGCGATTTGAGGTAAGAAGATTTTCTTTTCTGTATTGACAACTCCCAGAGAGATGGTTAGATGGTGTTCAATCGGTTGGCAATTTTAAGGACCGGGTCCCCAATGTCTATACAACGAATATGTCAGAATCTATTATCAGGAAGGAACGACGAACGAAAACTTCTGTCCGTGTTTCGATGCAGCACTCACGGAGTATTAAAGTGGGAAAGATCTTCGGCATTACCTGAGTAAAGTCGTTGTTGGCTAGAGAAGTAAATAATCTTTTCTTTCTATTAAGTGCAGAGAAATTTCCAAAAAGAAATTAAGATTGTGGTCTCTGTAAATGTCTGCAGCATTTCTATGAAAGCCAGCAGTTGCCTATATTCAAAATCTTTGCATTGAATTGTGGGTTGTTGCGCGTGTAGTCTGGTAGGAGCAAGAATCTCTGAAACGTTGGTAAATTTCCATCAGACTATAGGGCGCAACAACCCAGAAGACAGCCATCTTCGGACTGACCGCCGCGAAAACTTCAAATCCTACATAAATTCAACCAGAGAGATAAATTCCAAAGTTTAGGATTACGAATGACGTCGTATAGCTTATTAACCCTAAATCATAGTGGTAAATAAACACACAACTTGCATTAATACGTCTCAAAACTGAATTTTGCGTACAGAGTGTATTTGTGGGTTTCGTATGATTCTCAGAATAAACATTGATTACTCCCTTTAACAGCACTGACCATTAGATGCGTGCTATGGAAAAACGTATTTTCTTCAAGGTTTTAGATAATTTTTAATTATTATTTAGACGGATTTCGTATTTAAAACACCACAAATTCTACCATACTTCTTCCTCAAGGATGTGTTCTTAGTCTTACGCTATTCTTAACAGGCGTAATACTAAACTGAACTAAAACGCTCGTGACATCGCAATTTTGACCACAGGTTACTATCCCCGAAAGAAACTACATTATATGCATATATTTTTGTCACATGTTTTGTCTTTGCATTTAAGTGTATTTATTTCCCGCTGTATGAATATGTGTGCTAGTGGTTGCGGGCATGTGTCTGAGTACGTTCCAGAACGATATATTATCTGTCAGTCGATGTATGAAATGACCTAAATCGAAATTTGAAATAATCGAAGAATCAGTCACCTAATTAAAGTTATTTGATCAATTCTGAGAAGAAAAAACTGCGTTAGGCGAGTATTATTAAGTCTTACATCACAGGAGTCAGGAATTGTGACGTACGTCTTCTAACACTGATATGACTTGTCAATTCTCGTGACGAACTTCCTGGCGTCTCTCCAAACGCCGCTGTTGTAATGGACGCTGCAGTTCGAACATTGTAGATGAGCTGATAACCTCGTCGCAAGGCTCTTAAAAGGATGTGAAGTAAGTGACACATTCGGTCAACAGATACATTTTATTGTTAGAGAGATGCGACCAACCAAGGGTGCCCAAATTGTTTTTGATGCAGGGCACGGGTCATCACATTTCTGGAGTAGATATCAGAACTTGGAATTGATAAATTCGGTTGAACGCCATGGTAATATGAGATCAAGAATTGGCAAGCATTCCAACTGAACTGCATTGCTCGTTCTTGAATATTTTACTGGCTACGGATCAGAATGTGCTTGGCAGGTCTCTACATCAAACTTATCCGAAAGTTCAGTTCCCTTATTGATTTATTTCTGAGTACAGTATATCAATTTCGTCGTGTACAGTGTGCTCCAAAAGTCGCGCAATTCAGAGTTGAATGTCATGTCCATTGTGCCTTTTTTTTGGGTCCATGTAGCTAAATTTTATATTTATTTTCTTCCTTTCAGTTATAATCTGGAACTGAGATCAGAACTACAAACTTATAATGTTTTCCGATGTACAATTACATTCTATCCTTTGTACAAGAAAGCGTGTCATACATTTTGTGACACTCCTTCGTTTACTGTATACCAATCATTTCCTTTTAAGCTGTCTCTTCTGAAACAGTTCTCAAAACATGGTTGTCGTTCTTATCAAACAAGAGGTTCATATTCTGTCAAACACGCAATATTATAAAACAACACAGTATTTACACCACAATTAAAACCATCGTAACGTCTTCTGTTAGTATTCGGCAGCATTTAACCGCCATATTGTCGTACATTATTTCTTCACGTTAAACCAATGACGAACGTTAGACTCCGACGAAAACATTGAAGAATCAAACGCGTAATGAATTCTTTGGCTCGGTCGGTCACATACACACCTATAATTTTGTTATCAAGGGTCAATCAGTTCGTTAAATACGTAATTTTATAATAATTTCAGTGGATAAAGCATAATTTTATTGGGCCTATATCTACAGAAAAGAGTAATGATGTCATTAGTTGCCTGTTTAATCTTATATTCTTACAAGGAACAAGATATGTTAATGTCAATATTTGACCAGACCAGCTTGCAGGTATAAATGACACAAGACCCCGACCACGTGACCGTGATGACCGATGGCTGATCAATGGTAGCAGGGCCTGTCATTTGTGACTGATGATACGGGATTAGTTACGGTTCCATCGATCAGGTGTCTGCAACCGACGCCTTAATATTACAGTGCCCTCCCTTATTTGACATGAGGGCCCGATATCCGAACATTATGTGTCGCGGTGGCAGCGTCGCCTCGTTCTGCCGAGAAATAACGACCTACTTTTGTCTGGAACGGTTCAGTTTAGAATACGTTGAAGCCTCAGAGAATGTAGATCCTCAGTCGAGATATATATGTTTATCGGTATTGGTCTCGTGGTTTTCTTTACGCCATGTGAACTTGTAGCCGCGTATCTTCAGAGCTTTATATTACACAGATCAATGCAATTTTTTTTGTTATGTTTATTACCCTTAATTATATTAGCTCTATAAATCCAACTAAGTTTTATCTTTTCTTGCACATCTTTTAGGTTTTCATTATGTTTTATTTTATTTTTTGTTAATTTATTTTAATGCTTGCTTTATAGTTGGGTTTTCAGCTGTTGTCAAACGCTTTAATAAATAGGTTGAATTAAATTATTAAAATTCTTAATATTAATTATTTTATTCTTGGAAAATATATAAATATTATGCAGTAGTCACTCTATTCTTTTAAATTCTGCAGAAAGTACCGATACAAAAGTTACGTATTTTTCTAAGATATTAACCTCATGTCGATATTAACAACTGTAGAAAATAAAGAAATATCTGATGTGGCCTCTAATGGAATAACGCTCATGCCGAATTTCATTAAAATATGTCGAAGGTTCTCAAGTTAAAACATCAGGATAGACGGGCGGACAGACACAAACAGCTCCCCCGCCCCCAAAAATAAGAGTTTAATTTGTGCACATAGTGTACATAACGCATAATGTGGATGATGACACTTTCGAAAATCTTCTGTCAGTGCTAGGGAGGGTTGTTCATTTGCGGCAGTAAGCCACAGGAAATTACACGAGTCGTTTTACACCCACAATTGTTTGTAATACAGTAATTACTCGCCAACCGCTTGGGTTATGTTACAGCCAAACAACAGTGGCTGGGAAGACCAAGCAAGGTCTTCTGGGAAATGGGGATTATTAGAACCACGGGCCATCGTAACATTTAACAAGGCCTAACTAAGTTGTTTGTTGCCTCACTAAACAGAAAATAATAACATAACGTTTCGAAAATAGTATATGAAATAATAATAACGGTAGGAATAATTACCGTAATGTTAATGATTTGCCTTCAATAACAAGACAGGATAAGTAATGCCATATTAACAAACGATTAACCGTGTACACTTTTTAATATTTCTTTGTGGCATGATTATAGCTAGCGTGTTAAACGAACACCCCTGTGGACCGTTTGTTCATGATGAAGCGTGTAGTTTATCGTATTGAACAATAAATTCCCGCGACCACTGTGTAAATTACGTCATAAATCCGTAAACAAACTAAAACACTCTGCTGGATGCACAAAGAAAATTTTGCTAATACCGGAGAATAGAAAACAGGCAGAAATGAAATACTTTGCACGGGAGAACTGGTGCTGTGGGAGCCAGAAGAAATTGGAGCAAAAGAAGAAATGGGAAATAATAAGAAGGAAGAGTCTGAAAAATAGAAAAGTCAGAAGTTTCACTACATCAGGCATGTTGAAAATCAGACAGAATTTTAAGGCGCTTAACAGACTAATCGATTAACAAGTCTGTAGGTATGAGGGTCAATTCCGCTCTCTTGGAATCAGTTTTTACATGAAAATCATCGCCCTGATGACGGAGGCAGCATCACCTCTGAAACGTTGGTGGAAATCTACCAGACTACAGCAATCTTCAGACTCACCGCTGTGAAAACCTCAAATTCTACAATATTTGTTCAGTTACTAAATTGTCTTGCGAGCTGATTGGTTTCTACAAAAAAGAAAGTTGATAATAAAGAAAGAACATTATGAAATGGAGAAAACTGATGGGACTTAGGAAATAAACTGTAATTCCCTACATTCTGCGCCGATTTAGAGCAGTGAAAGATCTCGAGAGGGGACGTATAAGCTAAATCCTTCCTTTCGCCATCTTTCTCCGCATTACACGTGCGTGAGACCCCCTTCCTCTACCCCGCCCGCGCTGTCTTCTCGAGAGCATCAACTTTATAACACAAACCATCATTTGTCACCCAGCAAAATTTACTTTCCATAAGTGAGACACGAGGAAACTCTTTGCGGTAGATTTAGCTGTTCTAAAAATAATGAAAGACGTAGCTGACTCCTGCGTTTTAACATTTATGTAATACATTTTTGTTGATTCTGTAAGTGTGAGAATATTTACACGCATTTTCAAGAATGTATCTTAAATAATATTTAGTTTGTTTATATTGTAAATTTCTGCATGATATGGTTTATGCATAATCCGAACAAATTCAGTTGTAGCAACCCCGAGGAGATATAATCCCGAATTTGACTACGTCACAAACAACAGTCCTTATCTGTCACAGACGAATAACGTCGAGTGGATTCAGACTAGAAGCAGCACAACAACACAGCATTACACAAACA